AAAAATGTCCATAAACACATTATTGCGACTGGCAGATCGATGTCCATAATAAAAACAAGTAGATTTAACAAGTGCCTGCTTTCATGAGCTGCACCATTGGCAGCCGGCGCACTCAGCGCCACCCCAGACTGCTGGGAACTGGCCACAGAGCCGGGGCAGATGCTCTGAAGGCCTCGCGAGCGTTACAGCGTGGACATTATCCTAACAGGAAGCTTCGCGCAGTAGGAGAGAGGACACACCAGGCTCTCGCTCTCCTTCAACGGCTACAACAGACCCACACAAGGACCGACTGCACAGTTTTAAGGAAAACGTGTCCACGGAATTCTTGGCTGGCTTTACAAAAGCCACCTTGCAGGCTGCAAGTCTGCTCCAGGTACAAGGGGGTAGGGGGTCCTGAAACGCCCTGGAACCCCGACTGGGGTGGGGCTGGGCCACCGATGTAACGGACAATAACTTGTGTCAAAGATGAGGCTCAGCCTTCTACACGTGGCCGGCATCCCTGTGGTGGCCAACTGAGTGAGCTGGCTGGATGCAGGCAGTAAGACTGCTGCCGGTCAGGGAGCTCCCGCCCACCGGCAGGCAACAGTAGCCACGTCCCTTTGGGCCACCCCTGCTGAAGCCACTCACTCCTGCAAAGGTTACAGGGTGGAGGTGCAGGGGTCTTCACAAAAATGACTTATTCCTCTTAGGCAAATCACCCTTGGAAACTCCATAAACTCTAAGTGTGGCTTCCCAAAACCACACAGCCCTACCTTACTTCTGTCAGGTCAGTACTGTGATGCAACCAAGCCAGCACGGCGCTGCCAGCACCACAGACCTGCGTGCCAGTGTGAATCCCGGCTGCTCTGCTTCCCCTGCAGCTCCCTCCGGGCCCAGCCACCCCTCTGCGAGACCCCCGGTGGAGTTCCAGGCTCCTGCCTTTGGCCTGGCCCAGCCCTAGCCACTGCAGCAATTTGGTGAACCACCCAGCAGATAGAAAAATCTCTACCACTTTGCCGTTCAAACACACCAATCTTTAAAAACTATTTTTACATCAAAACAAAATTAAACCATTCCTTCTGGTCATCACACACCTGAGAACACACATCACAAAGCCCCGGGTCCTCACCGCTGTCCCCGGGTCCTCACCGCTGTCCCCGGGTCCTCACCGCTGTCCCTGGGTCCTCACCGCTGTCCCTGGGTCCTCGTGCTGTCCCTGGGTCCTCATGCTGTCCCCGGGTCCTCACCACTGTCCCCGGGTCCTCGTGCTGTCCCCGGGTCCTCGTGCTGTCCCTGGGTCCTCATGCTGTCCCCGGGTCCTCACCACTGTCCCCGGGTCCTCGTGCTGTCCCCGGGTCCTCGTGCTGTCCCCGGGTCCTCACCGCTATCCCCGGGTCCTCACCGCTGTCCCTGGGTCCTCGTGCTGTCCCTGGGTCCTCATGCTGTCCCCGGGTCCTCACCACTGTCCCCGGGTCCTCGTGCTGTCCCCGGGTCCTCGTGCTGTCCCTGGGTCCTCATGCTGTCCCCGGGTCCTCACCACTGTCCCCGGGTCCTCGTGCTGTCCCCGGGTCCTCGTGCTGTCCCCGGGTCCTCACCGCTATCCCCGGGTCCTCACCGCTGTCCCTGGGTCCTCGTGCTGTCCCCGGGTCCTCACCGCTATCCCCGGGTCCTCACCACTGTCCCCGGGTCCTCACCGCTGTCCCTGGGTCCTCATGCTGTCCCCAGGTCCTCATGCTGTCCCCGGGTCCTCACCGCTGTCCCCAGGTCCTCATGCTGTCCCCGGGTCCTCACCGCTGTCCCCGGGTCCTCATGCTGTCCCCAGGTCCTCATGCTGTCCCCGGGTCCTCATGCTGTCCCCAGGTCCTCATGCTGTCCCCGGGTCCTTGTGCTGTCCCCAGGTCCTCATGCTGTCCCCGGGTCCTCACCACTGTCCCCAGGTCCTCACCGCTGTCCCTGGGTCCTCACCGCTGTCCCCAGGTCCTCACCGCTGTCCCTGGGTCCTCATGCTGTCCCCAGGTCCTCATGCTGTCCCCGGGTCCTCACCGCTATCCCCGGGTCCTCACCACTGTCCCCGGGTCCTTGTGCTGTCCCCGGATCCTCACCACTGTCCCCGGGTCCTTGTGCTGTCCCCGGGTCCTCACCGCTATCCCCGGGTCCTCACCACTGTCCCCGGGTCCTCGTGCTGTCCCCGGGTCCTCACCACTGTCCCCGGGTCCTCGTGCTGTCCCCGGGTCCTCACCGCTATCCCCGGGTCCTCACCACTGTCCCCGGGTCCTCGTGCTGTCCCCGGGTCCTCGTGCTGTCCCCGGGTCCTCACTGCTGTCCCCGGGTCCTCGTGTTGTCCCCGGGTCCTCGTGCTGTCCCCGGGTCCTCACTGCTGTCCCCGGGTCCTCGTGCTGTCCCCGGGTCCTCGTGCTGTCCCTGGGTCCTCACTGCTGTCCCCGGGTCCTCACTGCTGTCCCCGGGTCCTCATGCTGTCCCCGGGTCCTCATGCTGTCCCCGGGTCCTCACTGCTGTCCCCGGGTCCTCACTGCTGTCCCCGGGTCCTCACTGCTGTCCCTGGGTCCTCATGCTGTCCCCGGGTCCTCTTGCTGTCCCCGGGTCCCCGTTCGTCCATCCTGCCCCCCTCAACACACCGAGACAGCAAGGTTCACTGTGTGCCCCAGAAAGAGGGGCCCTTTCACTTTCACTTTCACCCGAAAGCAGCCGTGGGTTGCTGCGACCATCATGTTAAACACAGCAGCGGACCCAGAACCCACTCTCAGCCAGTCTTGACACTAAGCAAGCCACATCTCTGCTTTTAAGACCTTCAGTGAGAGCTGGCGTTGTGCCTGCAATGCCGAGTCCTACATACAGGAGCCGGTTCCAGCCCCTGCTGCTTTGCTTCTGAGCCACCTCCAGGCTGATAAGCCAGAGCCCGAGAGCCAGCACTCAGGTGGGGTCTTACACTCCTGGCTTCCGCCTGGCCCAGCGCTGGCTGTGGAAGCCATTTGGTGAGCAAGCCAGCATGTGGAAGCATTCGCTCTATGAAATTATTTTTCTTTTCCCATATTTCAGGTTTTGATTAAACACCAACCTGCTGTGGATCCCAGCAAACCGACCAGGAAGGACTGGCTCTGACGAGACCTTGGCCTTTCTGAACCCAACAGGAAGTCAAAAACCTCACAACACTGGCTCAGGATTAGGGAGTTTGCACCAGGGCCGGGGTGCAAGCAAATGCAGATGGCAGACAGGTGCGAGCAGCAGGGGCCAAGGGACCCTCTCGGGAGGCAGAGGAGCTCCCGGTCAGCCCCGTGACCAGAGCACGCTCAGCGAGCTCAGAACATTGGGGTTATAAAACACTTTTTCCTGATATCTTCAACGAGACGGGCTCAGAGGGCTGCAATTCCAGGCCAAACCAAGAACATCCAGAACGTGCAAGGGGAGCCCAGGGCATAGAACAGTCAGAAAGTATAGTTCTGATTTCATTATTTTTTTTCCCACCAGGGAGAATAAATTGTAATATGAAAAAAAGCATTGCTTTAAACCCACCGAGTGACCCAAGCAGCCCTGCCATGCAGCAGGGACATCTGGTACCTGGGATGCCAGCACCCCACTGCAGAGCAGATCCTGGCTGTTCCACCTCCAATCCCAGTCCTGGCTCCGGAGCCCGGAGAAGCAGCCAAAGACGGCCCATGTGCTTGGGTGCGAGACCCCGACTCCAGGCTTGCGCCCAGCCCAGCCCAGTTGTCACCGCCATCTGGGGAATGAGTGGCCTAGTCTCCAGATGTCCCCAAGTCTCCTCTCTCTTGCTGCCTTGCAGACAAATCGGTCTAACAGAAGAAGGAAGAGGCATGGTCTCGACGGCCTGAACCTTGGCTCCCCAGCAGCGTGTCCTCCACCAACTAAACACGATGCCAACTTGGAGAATCACTGAACAGAAGGCTGGCTGTTCACCCCCGGGTGCTTGCTCAGGCCTGGTCTGGCCTGCAGGGAGGACACCTCCACGACGCTCCGCCCACAGCGAAGTCAGTCCCAGCAGCTGCACCTGCTCCTGGCTGCACAGGAGTCAGACGTTAAGCAACGCGTACCAAGGCTTTGCTTCTTTACATCCTGCTGGTAACATCACCTGACATCAGACACGTTCAGCCACTGTCACACACAGGCTGCTCTGTTCAAGGGAAACAACTACCTGAGCAGTTTGGAGCTGGAGGCCTGCTTCCTCGCCCTGCTCTAACGGGCAACCACACGGCTGCCCACAGCTCAGCTCCTCACTCGAGCGAAGCAGCCAACGCAGAGCCCACCGGCTTTGCCACCCACAGGTTCCGGCTGCTGGCAGCTAAGGCCTTACCAGCTGGGCTGACAAGCTCCCATCCTCCCTTCCCAGGGGGCTCAAGGTCCAATGTGTCCTCTGTCTCAGGAAAATGTGCTCCCTGCCACCAGGGCACTGGGGGGCCGGCTCCCAGGGTCCCCTGGCCTGTCCCCAGCTCTCCACCTCAGCCACTCCACGTTCTCCCGGCGCTCTCTAGGGGCGACCCCTGTGTCCACACAGCCGTCCCCGTCTCTGAACGCGGCCCAGCACACACAACACCTGCTTCCCAGTGAGGCTCTCCAGGCCCCACGCACCCACGGGGGCCCAGGACATGGGCCTCATCACACAGGAAGCAGATAGAATTCAGCAGGAGCTGATGAAGGGCTTCTGGAAGCTTCCTGGAACGCAGGGTGGACCAACCCACCGCCACCACGCTGGTCAGCAGCGAAAGGCAGGTGGGTCCTGGCCTGGGTGCCCTCCCTGACCAGCTGTGGTGTGGTGAGGCAGCCATGACGCCCCCGGCCAGCCACTGCCACCTCTGGGCAACCCGGCCCACGCGCCCCAGGCCGGCTGGGCACACCTGGGAGGGCACGTGGGTGCAGGAGGGGGAGCGGGTCAGGACCAGGGCCGGCTGGGCCCACTCCGGGCTGCGCCTGCCCCACGGGCTCCAGACGCCCGCGCTCTCCCTGCGGACAGCCCCACGGTGCCGGGAGCACGGCCACTCACTCACCAAGTTACAACCCACGAGGACCCTGAGGAGCTGGGAGCTGCGACACAAACAACGCGCCGTGCCGCGAGGGGGCGGGGCGAGGGCGGGACCGGGACGCGGGGGGCGGGGGAGTAGGCGGGGCCGCTGTACGTGGGGCTGGGCGAGGGCGGGTATGGGGCGGGCCTGGGCGGGACCGAAGTGCGGGGGGCGGGGACTGGGCGGGGACTGGGCTCTGCCATGGGGGAAGGGCCGGCCAGCGGACGCAACCGCGCAGAGAGGCGGGGCCAGGCCAGGGCGGAGCCGCGGAGCCGGGGCGGGTATGGGGCGGGACCGCGGCGCACGCTCGTGGTCCGAGCATGCCCAGTGCAGCGGCGCCTGACTGAGGCGCTGTGCGCAGCCGCAGTGGGCTCGCGTGTCCTGGCCGAGGTCTGGCTTGCTTGGTGGCCGCATCTGCCTTCCGGGTAGGGGTTTGGCTCACGGGCTTAGGCTATTCTCTCCTCCGCCTCTCTGGCTCTGTGCCTCGGCCTGCGTAACGGCTGCCCCTGCCCAGGAGCTGTGTGGCTCCTGCTCTGGCCTGGAGATTCCCACATCTAAGGGCAGGAACTAGCTCCAGGCCCGGGACCGCCGAGGGGCAGGCCAGGCCTGCCGCGTGCTGCCTGTCCACCAGGACAGCCAGTTCCTGACCCAGCTGCTGACCAGTGAACACAGAGGTCACCAGGCCCTGCCCGAGGTGGACCTGGCCATGAACTGGGCCGCGTCCACCCCAAGGACCACGGGGCCCACCTCAGAAAGGGACCAGCGAGGGAGGTAGTTGCAGCGTTAGGAGGAGGGGTTGAGAGGCCAGCATCCACCAGGACCGCGGTCCTTAGGGACGGGTGCCCATGTACTAGCCCTCATTGGGGTACTGCCACAAGCCAGGCATACTGGAAGCCACCGGAGCTGGACAGGGTGGGTCTGTAAGGTCTGTCAGCTCACTTCTGGGGCCTCGCCTGGCTGCTTAGTCCCCAGTGTTGTCCTCTGTCCACAGTCTGTGATAAGCTCCCAGGCCCGTACCACGGTCGCAGCAAACTGTGGGCTGGTGCCATGCCCAGGCTCTGTCACTGCTGGGGTCCCAGTGGAATTGTCCTCCCTAGAACCAGCGTGGCGCTGTAGCCAGTTAAGGCAGCGTAGTATTATATGGGCACAGTTGTGTTCCAGAAGTTCCACTTTGAATCCAGCTGTCTGCTAATATGCCGGGAACAACAGCAAAGGTGGCCCAAGGGCTCGAGTGTGCGCACCCACAAGGGAGGCCCAGATGAAGCCCCTGGCTCCTGGCCTAGCACTAGCCGTGTGGCCTTCTGAGGAGTGAACCAGTGGACGGGAGGTCTCTGTCTGTTTTTCAAAATAAACAATGCTGAAGAAGAGGAGGCGTCATCCTAAGAGAACTGAAAAAGGATTAGAGTAACTACTGGTATGCTGATACGTGCATCCTAAAGTGGATGCATCCTAAAATTAGTGTATGAATCCAAAGTGCTTGAAAACGAACTTGTAAACTATGAAGAGGGAAAAAATCATCCATTCTAGCCACCGCTAGTGTCTACGAGTCTCCACCCTAGGAAGAAACAGCCAACGTTTTCATCCCCTCAAAGGCCTGACCAGAAGACCAGGCCTATGGAATGTTCTAGAATGTGGCATTTCAGGATTGGCAGAGCTCTGATGTTGCTGGTGGGACATTGCAATAGTTTCAAATGCCAGATGCCACCTGCGCCTCTTTCCCTGTCTTCACCTCTTTGCCCCCTCTGTTGTTTAAGGAGCACAGCTCTCCCCCAGGGCAGGACGGGCATCTGGCGTGTGTAGGCGGAGAACCTGAGGATGTGGGTGCCGTGTGCAGCCCTGCCTCTTCTGGCAGGATGACCGGGCCGCACTGCTGGGCGGGGTTCTGCCAGGGGAGCCCTTCTCGGACAGATCGCCATCGGAGCCTTTCGGAGGAAGCCATACTGCGCCTGGTTCTGATCTCTGCTCGGCCCCCGGGCTTCTTTACAGGATGGGCAAGGGAGCAAGGCAGCTTGCACTGTTTCTTTAAACATCCAAGCGGACGCCTTTCAGGTCAAGCAAGTGAATGCAACGTGTGATTGCCGCTAATGATTTGCAACCCAAGAAATTTGTTTAATAAGCCCCTCTCTCCAAGCTGCTTCTGGGACATTAGAGGCCGTTTTCTGCAAAGCTGTCTTCAGCAGTCAGATGTAATCCTTACCACCCTGCCTTCGGGAGATGAAGGGATTTTGCCACGATCCCGTAAAACCTTAAGTGGTTAGAAAGCCCCGAACTCTGGACAAATGCGTGGTGGTCTTGGAACAAAAGAAATGTGTTCCTGCACTCGCTGCTTTGTTCTGCATACGGTTCAGCTTCAGCACAGCGTCTCCAGTGGAGAAATTCTCCGATGAACGCAATTGATTTTCTTAGCCCCGTGTTGCTGTGAAGGCTGGAGCCAAGAGCTGGAGTCAGCCCCGGGCCCGGCCAGGAGCCCAGAGCACTGTGGAGGAGAAAGCCTGAAGCAGGCAGGGGTAGGAGGTGAGCCTGCCGCTGCGCCCTGAGAGTTCTCGCTGGCTGAGGGTGTCGCTGTGTGCAGGGAGTGTGGTCTACAAGAGGGCGGGACCAAGGCCGGGATGAGGCTTCTGGCTCTACCCTTAGCCACCGCAGAGGGGAGGCAAGACCCCTGGGTGGGAGAAGGGACCCCTGGGTGGGAGAAGGGACCCCTGGGTGGGAGAAGGGACCGAGGCTTAGCCACAGCAGGCAGAGGCCCCCTGCATGTGCCCGGGAGCCCGAGGGTACCTCCCGGGCGTCTGGAACCCCTGCTGACCCTTGCATAGTGGAGCAGGAAAGCGAGGAACACTACATGTGAGAACAAGAGCCAGAGACAGCCCAAGCTTCTACGCCCAGCCCCCTCTACGGCCTAGAAGGTACAGGGGTTGGGGCTGAGGACAAAGGGATCCAGGCCCCCAAAGTCCCAGGGAAAGACTGAGCCACAAAGAAAGTAGGGCTCGCTCTCCGGAGCAGTGAGCTTCTTGCTTCTAAGGACTTGGCCAGGGAGCCCCACCCTCCGAAACGTGGCTCCCTCCAGCAAGTCCTCTACAGCAGGCCCTGGGCTGCGGCCCCAGTTCACAGAGCAGACTGGTCAGCAGCCAGGGTGTCTGTGTGGCTTGAGGGATGCAGGCAGTGCGGCCCGAGAGCCCCACACTCCAAGGGATGCATGGACCCTGCATGCAACAGTGTTCTGGAGTCATCAGACAGGAGTGGCCCAGACCTTGTGTGTCTTCCTCCTGCGATGTGCTGCTGTGCATCACTGGCCACCAAGGAAGGGATGCAGTGTGTGCGATGCGCCAGAGGCAGCCCTGCAAGCACATGTGTGTGGTGGCTAGGAGACACTCTGGGGCATCCTTCACCCTCCCTCATGAGGCTGTGCCTCTGTTAGATGCTGGCCCTTTTAAAACCAGCTCCTACACTCATTACAAAGTGTTTTTGATCCATTTTCGGGAAGGGCTGTGCTTGGTAACACGCTGTTGGCGGTTTGGGCAGAATCTTCTAAGTGGTGTGAAGTACTGGGGAGTATACACCTGGGCCGCTGGAGGAGGTGGGCCTCCCGCTCCCTGGCCCCCAATGGATGAACCAGAAGAGCCGTGCTTTTGTTTCTGTGACTTGGAAATTAAAAGCAAGAGACGTGGGGTTTGATGCTGAGACAGTGAATTGCCAGTGTTTGTTTCTGACTGGGAAACTACAAAGGAGAGTGAGGGCAGGGAAGACAGCCATGCCAAGTGCCAGCAGCCAGGGATTGGAAAAGGAGAGTGGCTGCAGTGGTCCGGGAGGCGTGGGAGGTGGGCATCTCCAGTGTTGCGCCTGGGTAGGAGGCGGTGGTGCTGAGGTGCAGGCAGCAGCCACAGGAGTGAGGGCACTAGCCCCCGGCCAGAGTAGCAGGCTCTCTCCCATCCTTCTGTGGTCTGGCAAGTCAGGAGTGGCAGGCAGGGAGGTTCAGGAGTGGCAGCCACAGAGAAGGAGGCCTCCTTGGTCCTGAGGGACAGGGACAGGAAGGAGTCCCCCCAGACTGAGCACTCACACGGAGGCTCCAGGCCTGTGTGTGGCAGGTGTGGAGTCATGACCCCCAAGTCACGAGGTCCTCAAGGGTGGAAAGCCCCTCCCCTGCCCCCATGACCGAGGATCTGTCCTTTAGCCCTGTGTCCCCAGAGTCGACACAAGTGCTCTCTCCCAGCTCCCGTTGTGAGGAAATCCTGGGGCAGGGCTGAGGCCACCCATCGCAGACTACGCTGGCAAACTGGAGTAATCACAGTGGCCAGAGGATGGGCACATCCCAGCCAGGGTTGGCAGCCCACGACAGCAAGAAGGGTCTGATGAGGGAAGGGGCAGGAGGTGCGTCGCTGTGAGTGTGTCTGACCCAGGTGCAGTGTGAGCCCCTACGTGGCGCGGGCACCTGAGCGTGAGCCCCTACGTGGCGCGGGCACCTGAGCGTGAGCCCCTACGTGGTGCGGACACCTGAGCGTGAGCTCCTACGTGGTGCGGGCACCTGAGCGTGAGCCCCTACGTGGTGCGGGCACCTGAGCACTGTGAACAGAGCACCTTGGACTTGCATGCAGTGGCACCTTATTTTTCTTTGCCAGGCAGAGAGACAGAGCTGTTGTAAGCGCTGGCTTACTCCCCAAACACCTGCAGTATCCAGGACGGGGTCAAGCTGAAGCCAGGAGCCTGAGTTCCATCTGAGCCTTCCGTGGGTGGCCACCTGCTGCCTCCCCAGCATGTGTTAGCGGGAGCCTGGAGCCGGAAGTGGAGCGGGCACTCAGGTGGAACGTGGACGTCCTGAGCGGTGAGTCCATCTCTGCATCAGCCACCCGCCACTTCTGTGCCATCTCTGGCCCTCACCATTGGCCCACCAGCAGTGGTGGATTGGGGGAGGGGGTAGTGGAGGTGGGTGGGCAATGCTTCCTGCAGCCCTGTGTGCCCAGGCAGTGGGGGGGATTTCTGGCTAGGATGCAGGCAACGGTGGAGCTTTCCAGAGTCTGTTGTCAAGGGTGGACA